TGGTGCGTGCCTGTAATCCCAGCTACTCAGGAGGCTGAGGCAGGAGAATTGCCTGAACCCAGGAGGCGGAGGTTGCGGTGAGCCGAGATCGCGCCATTGCACTCCAGCCTGGGTAACAAGAGTGAAACTCCGTCTCAAAAAAAAAAAAAGATCAGATGAGGGGACTTTTCATGTGAGTAAAATTGATTTTCCAAGTCTACAAATCCTGTGGGTGGAATAGATTATTTTATTCAACACAGATTAGGAGGACAATCAGAACACTCAAAACATATTTTGAATTAATTGACACTAAAAATTTGCCTAAATATTCAAAGCCAAAGACATGTGGATTTAAAAAACCCACCAACCAAAAACTCTTCACATCCCTATCTAGTTACAATATGTTCAGCTGATCAATAATTAAGCAATGAACATCGGAGTTCTACAGGTTCTTTACAGGTCATCATGAGTTCCCCCAAGACATTTATTATCTTTATTAGGTCTGAGGTTTGGGATATATACCAAAAAAAAATTGTTAAACATATATATGCTTTGACCTAAGCACTTAACTTTCACCATATAGATCTTTATATACTTTGGCAAAGTGATATATATGAGCTATTCAATGCAGAATTGTCTATAATAGCAAAGAACTTGAAACAATACACATGTCTTCCAACAGGAGTTACGTTATATAAACTGCAGCATGTCCAGAGTCCGACGATTATATACATAGGATTTATATAAATTCCCTGAGAATCACAGAGGTTACTCTGCCTTGGATAATCCCAACCACATTTTAAGTTTGCAGAATCAGCAGAGGCAGAGAGAGATCCAAAGCAGAGTGATGATATGCTCCAGACCCACAGGGAGAAGAAGCTATGGTAATATTTTCATCCATCATTCCACTACAACCTTTCTTTAAAAAGTAAATCATTAGAGGTTATCTAAGAGCTAAAAGAAGTGGTCAGGAAGTAAGGGAACCTATCCCTGCTGGTTAATATATATTAGCCTTGGAAATGTAAGAGAAAAGATATTGACAAAATAGTCCCCTGTGATTATTTATTGTCCCATGTTACCTAGTGAGTTCCTTTCTGATTTTTCATATTCTCTATTGCTCTTGTCATCATCATGGAGCAAATTCACTAAAGAGAGAAATTCAACTTTCTGAAACCAAATGATATTCACATGCCTGTATAGAGATGTTTGAAAACGCTATCCATGCACAAAGGGAGATGAGTATGCAGTACAAACGCACATAGAACACTGGATGAAAAATGAAGCTGTATTTTAGCTGAGGTGGTGAGGCAGGGCCGGGGGAATGACAAGGCTACCAGTCAGGGAAACTTAGAGGTTCATGATGACTTGACCTTTTAATTAGTGACTGGGCCAAGTCTGGAAAGGAGACATGAAGAGAAAGCAGAGAGTAGATGAAGGAGAATGATGCAATTTCTTGTTCAAACAGGAATTTATTTCGAGTATTGCATATACCCTATTTATAGCTAACATATTTTGACATATTTGTTTAAACCAGAGCCATGCCATTCCTCCCACTGTGCCAAAGGGCTGTCTTCCTTCTGGGCTCTCCTCAAAGGATGATAATATTCCAGAGGATATAATAATGAAGTCATTAATTCTAAAGTAAAATCACAAAATGCAACCACTTAAAACTTGTTGTATTATAGGAACTTGGAAATTCACCTTCTAAATACCTCGTAAGAGTATGTCTAACTGCTCAATTTCACCATAATTCTTATATATTAACCAATTTCCACTTCACTGCTTTAATAGTGAATCTGTGCCCTGAATCTGTGCTACCTTTGAATTTTTCAGCACGGTAGATGTAAGACTTCTAGACATCTATAAGAAGCATATAAGTAGAAAAACTCCACCGTAATGCGAATGGCATTGGACTCATGCATGCAAATTTATTCAGTCTTTCCTTTGTATCGCCTCAACACATCAATGGTTTGATAAGTGAAAAAGTTCCTTATAGAGTCAAGAAAATTCTTATTCATCATCTGAACACTTACCACAGTATAATAATTCTTGGTAAGTGGAGCAGTTTCAAATCCTTTGACCGCCTTGGGAGAGAGAGGTCTCTCTGTGAAAAAGACATTTAAATTATGTTAATATCACACAAGTCTACGATGAACATTTCATAACATGGGTCAAGTAACATACTATAAGGATTCCCAGTGGAAGGATCAATGGAGGTTTAGAATATATACCAAAAATAATTGTTAAACATATATGTACTTTGACCTAAGCACTTAACTTTCACCATACAGATCTTTATATACTTCAGCAAAGTTATATATATATATATATATATATATATATATATATATATGCTATTCAATGCAGAATTGGCTATCATAGCAAAGAACAAGAAACAATACACATCTTCCAACAGGAAGTGCGTTATATAAACATGCAGCAAGAAATTGATCCTTTCACTGGGAATCTTTATAGTAATTTCACATTCCTAAATAAGTGAAACTACAACTGTGCTAAACTATAGATGGTCAAAGTTAGATCTTCTTGTCTAGACCCCTCAATTTCCAAAAAGAGGAATAAGCCAAGGAATTAAGACCTAACTAAGAAATAGCAGGGCCAGGGCAAGGACTTTACTCCCAGTTGGGGTTTGTCTGCCCTCTCCATTCAACTTACTCAAAACAGATATGCGAAACCAACACTAACAAATGTATACAGATAATTACCAACTTATGATGGTTCAACTTATAATTTTTCAACTTAACGATGGTCCAAAAGTGATACACATTCAGTAGAAATCATACTTTGACTTTTGAATATTGACATTTTCCTGCCTTGGCAAACTAGCGTGCACATGAGCTACTGAACACTTTATTATAAAATAGGCTTTGTGTTAGATATTTTGCCCAACTGTGAGCTACTGTAAGTTTTCTGAGCACATTTAAGGTAGGCTAGGCTAAGCCATGATGTTCAGTAGGCTAGGTGTATTAAATGTATTCATAATTTACGATATTTTCAACTTATGATGGGTTTAATCAGCATGTAACCCTATCATAAGTCAAGAAGCATCTGTATTTATAACTTTCAATTTATTATACAAGTATAACAAAATATAAATAATGGCAACCATGCTTTTCGTGGGTCTGTCTACGATGCCAACAACAAAATAATCAGAAGATTTAACTCAATGAAAACTAGTAGAAAATTATTCCCCTTTAAGTATAATTTTAATATTATTTCATTGCATTGTAAAATGCTGTCCTTCTTTTACCTAAGTTAATCTTACTTATTAAACTCATGACTAAAGGAAATCCTAGGACATTCCTTCTTATTAAAAAAAAATATGAGACAGTCATAACAAATTTTTAGCAGTGTCACTACATAGCATCTTTCCTACATGCATTTTCTCCTTTGCTTCAATTTGTTTCATATTTTAATTTTAACTTGATATATTGTATGCTGTTTTAAACCCTTTCTAAGGTATGGTGCAGTATAAATAACCAAATAATAATATATCATCAGACCTTGATTTTTTAAATAATATTTTTGAGTTATAAATCTATTGCAATCCCACCCCCAAAAATTTAAAACATAGAACAGAAAACAAAAACCAGCAATTATCCCATCACCTAGAGCTAACTATCATTTAAAGTGTTTTTGAAGTGTGTCTTCCCATTCTTTTATGCATGTTTGTGAACACGCACACATGCACACACTCTTGGATCTTTCTAACCTTAACCTGCAGTTTTATAATTCTCCTATTACAATATTATTTTATAAATAATTTTCCCATTTAACTTTGATTTTTAATTATTATTATATTGGAATATTCCTAATATTTATTTCGTACTTAATAGCTTTTAAGACACATTATTTAATCTTTACAACAACCCTGGCAAGCAGACTATCTTCTCATTTTACAAAGGAGGCCACTAAGATTCAAGGAAGTGAAATTAGTTGTCTCAGGTCATGCAGCTAGGAAATGGCAGAGCAAAGATTGAAGCCCAGGTATGTCTTGACAAGAGCCTGTGTTCCTAACCAGTATGATACCCAGAGATAAGGCTACTGAAGGGCTTGGTTAATGGCATGGGCAGGGGTTCCTGCTGGAGTTCAGAGGGGCTATCAGTTTGATCTGGGATGGTTAGAGAAGACCTTGCTGGGAAGGAGGTACTTTATCTGGCCCTGAAGGGTAGATGGAATTCAAACAGGCAGGGAAGACAGTACAAAGTTTTCTTTTAAGGGAAGATTTCAGAAACACAGACTGTTCTTGTAACAGTGAGTTATCCAGTGGGACCAGGTTGGGCAGAGTGAAAATAAGGCAGAAAAGTAGCAATGAGATGGGGTGGGGAGCTGGGGAGAGATAGCAAGGGGAGAGATGCCAGATGTAGGTGATGGGGAGGAAGGCAGCAAATCACACTGCCAAGTGTGTACCTATGCAACAATCTTGCATGTTCTTCACATGTACCCCAAAACCTAAAATGCAATAAAATAAATAAATGGGGGAAAAAAAAGTAGCAATAAGGGACAATTTTGTCACTCCCCAGTGAGGACAAGTGGGGGATAACCAGTTCCTGGAAGCTTTATGCTAGCTCAAGATCTACCTGGATCCACTGGGGTTCATAAGGCTTTACTGGAAAAATGTCAGCCCTATCAGAAATAAAACAGGGGATATCACTCCAGACCCTGGAGATATAAAAAAGATAATAAAGGACTACTACAAACAACTCTACACACATAAATTTGACAATTAGCTGTGAAATGAACCAATTCCTCAGATAACAAAAACTACTGCAACTCACCCAATATGAAATAGATCATTTGAATGGCCTTATAATTATTAAGGAAATTGAACTTGTAAATTTAAAACTCTTAAAAAGGAAATATCCAGGCCCACAACGTGTCACTGGATAATTCTATCAACTTTTTAAGGAAGAATCAATACTAATTCCATATAATGTCATACAGAAAATAAAAGAGATCACCTCCCAAGTCATTTTATGAAATCACTAATACACTGACACCAAAACCATACAAAGGCCGTGCAAAAAAGAAAACTGCAGACCAACGTGCCTCATGAATGTAGATGCAAAAAAAATTAACAAAATATTAGCAAGTAGAATTCAGCAATATTTTAAAAGAATTGTGTACTATGGGATTCATCCTAGGTTGGTTAAATATTTTTAAATCATTAATGTAATCCATGATCTTAACATTCTTAAAAAGAAAAAAGTCACATGATAATATTAATCAATGCAGAAAAAGCATTTGACAAAACTTAACACCCATTCGAAAAAAAATAACTCACAGAAAAAAATAAGAATAAAGAAGAACTTCTTCAAGTTAGTAAAGTGCATCTACAAAAAAAGCCTACAGTTAGCATCTTACATAATGGGGAAAGACCGAATGCTAAATGCTTTCCCCCTAAGATCAGGAAAAAGGCAAGGATGCATGCTCTCACTACTATTAATTCAGCACAGCACTGAAGTTCTAGCTCTCTCTGAAATCTTGGTCTAGGTTGGGGAATTAACACAATGAGCAGAAGGGAGACAGATTTGGAAGGATAAACTTGGAAAGTCTAAAAAAATGTAGCACTTGTAAATGACTGGCCCCATGAAACACAAGAGGGAAAGCAAAGAGAGAAACATCAGCACTATGACCTCAGTGACAGTTTCTGGCCTCTTGTTCCTCCTTTGCTCCCCGCCCCCAACCCTACCGCTTCTTTCTCCCGCCATGTGAAGTACTCTCTGAAATCCACACTCAGCAGCATGCAGAGAAGAAATGAATATGTGAAGGTTCCGAGAAGACAGTTCAGTCCCTGGTCGGGGGGGGGGGGCGGGTATTCAAAGTGCCCAACTAGAATAAACATGAAAATGTAAACATTTTAGGTGGTGTTCTAAGGCCTTGAGGATATTGGGCAATCCAACCAGTGGGTGGAAAAATCAGTCAATATAGTGAGGAATTCCAATGGATTGTTTGTATAATATATTTCAAACAACAGTGTCACACAAATACAGGCATAAGAAATCCTCCTGATCCTGATGCAAAGACCCCTTTCCAATTAACTTTTGATTTTTTCTCTTCCTTTGTTGGTGTACACATTACTGTTGCCTGTTGGTGGTGATAGGACAAAAAGAAATCTAGTGACAAATAGGCTCTCTGGACAGGAAACATCTATGCGATACACCCAGGAGATTAAAACAGGAAGTCTAAATATAAAGCTCAATCCTAGCTTCACTTTATACTGAGCAGGAAGAGTGATTTCTTAATCTGCCTTAATACAAATTTAATTAACCGTGTACCTAATCCCCTCAATTGATATCTATATTTACTGCTAATGAGAAGTTTTAGAAGAAGGATTTAATGACCTCTTAATTGAATTAGTGGGAGAAAATAGAATTTGTTTAAAATATCTGCTCAATCTTACTTGCCTCAATAATTTCTTGGCTTAAAAATTTTGCCAGGAAATTTTTAATGCAAAGTCCCAACAAATCCTCAACCTTTCTAGGTAATAGAACAGAGACAAGAATTTTAAAAAGGATATAATTACCATTATGTTACCAATGTACTGGAAGAAATTACTTTGATGTATAAATAACAAGTTACCACTGATTTTTAAAAGAGAACAGAAAATTGTCAAAGCGGCTAATTTTGTTATGCATAATGTATCCAACTCAAATGAAATACAAAAGCAAAGTCCCTTAATATATGTTCTGTAACTTATTTAATGACTAAGTTGTGAATACATGTATTTTTCATGAACTTAGATCCTTGAATAAAACGTATTTTTTGTCAAAATGGGGTTTATTTTTCTCATATAATGGGAAATCCAGAGGTAGGCAAGCAGAACTGGTGACAATGGCCTCATGATGTCACCAATGTCCAGGTTCAATCATCCTTGGAGACAGGTTTTTATCATCATGGTCACAAAAACTTACTCTACTTTCAGTCACAAGCTCATGTCAAAAAGAGATGTGTGCGTGTGTGTGTATTTGTTTGTTTTCTACTCAAGTATTCTATTGCTTAACTTTCTATAGTATTAGGTGGGTGATTCTTTATGCTATATGACCTCTGAAATCAGCCTCTTCTCAAAGAGCAGGAAAAAGCTAT